GGCTCAGACTTCCTCATGCCGGCTCATCCTTACAAGTGTCACAAATGTTCAGCTTCCTTAAGAGTCTGGCTTATATAGTTCATCTTTAATAAACCTTGTCTTTGGCTGAAGAAGGCTTGGGTCAAATTCTTTAGGGCAGGACCCACATGTCATGATTTTGGGGTCAAGCTTCTAAACCTCAACACCATTTCTGTTACTTCGCACTGGCTGCCCATCATGCTTTGAATGTACAACCTCTTCATCTCTACCTTTTCAAATCTCTGTCTTCCTTCAAGTCAAATACAATATTCTATATGAAACTTTTCCTAATACTTCCAATAACTATTGTCCTCTCTAAAAGTACCTTGTACTTAACCATTTTATATTTGTTCTGTTTTATGTTTACTCTGTGTGTTCTTAAATATATACTTCTCTTACCCATGAAAATGTACAAGCTTTGTATTTGTATTCCTAGTGCTTAGCACACTGCCTGGCATATAATAGGCACCTAAGAAATATTTGTTGTTGATTGATTGACCGCATCAAGTCTTAAAGGAAGAAAGGAATTCAGTGAGACAGAGGTGAGAAGGGAGTATATTCCAGATATAAGTATGGGTACTGCAAAGGTAAGAGATGGGTAAGGAATAGAGTGAAGGTCAGTTTGGTTGGATTATAGACTACGGGAAGAGGAAGTTTGCATAGCAAGTCTGAAATGATAGTCTGGAACCAAGTTATAAAGGTCTTTAAAAGAAAAAGGGATTCTGTTTGATCCTGGAGATAGCAGGGAATCATTGTACTCTGTTGAGTAGGAGAGTGACCTGGTAGTTTTGTAAGATGAGTTGGAGTGGACAATGACTTGAGGCAGGAGGTTAATTTGGAGTTCATTGAATAGTCCAGTCAAGAGGTGATTAGGGCTTGAATGAAGGTGTCAGTGTTGCTGTCCCTTGACCTCTTCTCTTCTCTTTCCTAGTCCTTCAGATAAATGCCCATTTATAAATTGATACCTTGTATGATATGATCCCGATGTCCTTTGCCATCCTGGTTGCCTTCCTTAGGATATTCTTCAGCTCTTCTGCTTCTTCAATTACATGTAGCAGTGGATAGAATCCTGGATCTGAAGTCAGGAAGACCTGAGTTCAAATGCAGACAGACACTTAACTACTTGTGTGACCCTGGGCAAGTCACTTAATCTTTCTACCTCAGTTTTCTTGAGTGTAAAACCTTGCAGGGTTATCACAAGGATCAAATGAGATAATATCTGTAAAGCATTTTGCAAGCCTTGAGATGTCATGTAAATGCCAGCTATTATTAGTTATTATTAATATTCCAGAAATATCCTAACACGAGGCAAACCCTTCAGCATAGCATTCCTCATGGTCTTTCATTGAACTTTGCCGCTTCTTGACACTTCTACCATAATATGGAATGGAAAAGGATAAAGGAGAACACATTCCAGTTATCCATTGTTTGGTGCCTTGCTAACAGATGGGATACGGGGCAGAGCTGTGATTTCATTGCTATTGGAAACTCCCAGATGAGGAATTTTCTTACCAAAGCAGGTCAACACCTTCTCTGCGTGTTAGAGAATTATCCAAAACAGAAGTGTTAGACATTAGGCCTACTGGGTACCTGCAGACCAAAACACTCCCCAGTGTGGTAAGAACCAGATTAAAATGTAATTGAGAAATATTTAATAAAAAATAAAAATATAATGAAACATAGGTAGTTTTAATATGTTTTGTAAGTTATTATGTACCTGCAAGGATCCTTTTGTACAGTTTAGTGTCCCCTGTTTCTATTAAGTTTAACACCCACTGGTCTAGAGCACTGAGAGGCTTGCCCAAAATCACATGATCATTATGTATCAAAGGCAGGACTCAAACCCATGTCTTCCTGGCTCCAAGGCTAGCTTTATATCCATTATGTCATGTTTTCTTTTCCAGAAGCTGGAGAGAAGTTAAAAATAAAATGTACTGAAAACAATAATAACTGATATTTTTATGGTATGCTACAAGAACATTTCTTTTACCCTGTTTCATTTGATCCTACCATTAAAACAATGATGTAAGCAGTACCAGTCTTCACAAATAATTCACAGATAATCACAGAATATCTAAGTTGAAAGGTCATTTATCTATTATTTACTCCAATCCCATTCACAGACCCAGAGAACTAAAATTGCTTATGTAGCTAGTACATGGCAGAATCAGAATTTACTTTCTGATTCTTTTTTGTTTTTTGATTGGGCAGTGGGGGTTAAGGGCCTTGCCCAGGGTCACACAGCTAGTGTTATGTGTCTGAGACTGCACTTGAACTCAGGTCCTCCTGAATCCAGGGCTGGTGCTCTATCCACTGCACAACCTAGCTGCCCCCCTTATTTTCTAATTCTAAGAATGTTTCTTTCTATTGGACCATTATGTCTATTTCACAGATGAGGAAATTGAGGATCATTAAGGTTATTATAGCTAGCTAACATTTATATAGCACTTAAAGTTTTATAAAGTATTTTACAAACATTAATTTTAACCTCACAACCTTGGAAGGTAGGTTCTATAATTATCTCTATTTTTTTTTGGCTAGGTAATGGGGTTAAGTGACTTGCCCAGGGTCACACAGCTAATAAGTGTTATGTGTCTGAGGCCGGATTTATCTCCATTTTATTGATAAAGAAATTAAAGCAGAGAGAAGTTAAGTGACTTGCACAGGGTCCCAAAGCTAGCAAGTGTCTGAGGTAGGATTTCAACTCAGGTTACATAGAAGATAAGCAACAAAGCAGAAGAGAAACATCAGTCTTCTGACTGAAAATACAAATTTCATTCATTCATTCATACATTTCATTCATTCATTCATTCATTCAGCTACCACAGTAGCTGGCCAAAAAGTATACAAATTATCGATTGCTTTCAAATGTTGATTGAGAGTTACCTTCACTATTATTATTATTATTGTTGTTGTTACTATTAATTATCATTTGAGTCATGTTTTAGTCCTGGAAATGCAAAAATAAATGTAACAGACCTTGGTCCTTTTTTTAGGGCAGTCTTTCCGGATAGGTGGCAAAAATAATAAAACAAATTCTTGGCTACTAACCTTCAGGATAGTGCATAAGTAGTTATTTCTAGAGTTGGCTAAATGGTTTCATGAATGCAATTGATCTTCAAAATTATATATAGTACTAAGTCTCCTGTATCATCTGTTCCTTTCCTTTGAGTGGCATAGCAAATACGGAATGTTAATTTTAAAGAGAGAGGGAAAGAAGCACGGAAGGAAGGGAGAAAGTAAAGACTAAGAGGGAAGGAAGAAAGGAAGACACTTCTGGCAGATAGAATAAGCTTTGCATTTCAGCTTGGTGCTGTTATTTGCAAAAGTTAGAAGCAAATCCCTTTACCATTCTGTGACTTTTTTACTCCATAAATCTAATACCTATTTTCTGCTTTCTTCACAAGATTGGTCATCTGTCATAAAAAAAAGAAAGATAGTTTACAAACTCAAATTGGAGGATTTACAATGATGATTTTAAAAACGTGTTGACAAAAGGAAAATGGGTCTATTTTAATTCTTCAAGTAATAAAGGAATGTCAAGTGAAATTGTAGTGTGTGATGGCAGGTAACCAAATGTGCAATGTTTGTGTAACTTCCAACTGCTGTTAGGTTAATCATTCCTGGAAATGAGTGTTAGGTTCATGGGATTTGCCTGGCTGGAGGAAGAAATCAAATAGCCTATACAAAAATGATCAATTCCCAGCCTTATTTTTATTTCTTAGGCTTTGCTACTCTTTGTACATGTATATGTTCATGGATGATGATGATGATGATGGTGATGCTGCTGCTGCTGCTGAACTTGCCTCACATAAGCTCACAAAGTCAGGGTAACTATTGTACCAAAGGCATAACAGGAGGTTGAGGATTTTGTTCTAAGCTGAAAATCAAAATAGGGCAAAGTAATTTGTGTAGCAATGGCTACTTGTCAAGAATAACTGTCATTAAAATTTCCATAAGCTCTAGTGAAATTGATGTTGTGGGAAAGGCTTCGGGAGGGTCTATTACAAAGCACAGTGAATTTCTTCTGAATTTTCCCAGCCAAGTTTGGAAAATCTTAAAAGATCTTTTCCCCCCCTTGGGCTCTTCCTCTGCCCAGAGGCCAAAGGTCTATCTCTATTCATCCCCTTGTATTCAACATCTGAATCCAGGAGCATATGTCAGCTGAGGCTGAATTCTCTCCTCTGGTCAGAGTACCATCTTAAAACGCAGCCAAGAGCAGAGAAGATGGAAAAAAAAATAACAAAAAGAGAAGGAATCTAGCAGGCATCACTCGTAGCCCCTCTGATATAACCAACTGAGTTTACTGAACAGAAGAATTGGTCTGGCGTCATTGTTCCAGTTTCTCTCAATATTGCAGGGTCTGATTTGCATTAGAAACCTCTGCATTCAATAAACAAAAATAGGGATAATAATGACCGAATCGCTGTTGGAAACACAAACCAAACTCAAGCAATGAGCGCTTTGCACTGCCTTAATTGAAGATTTTACTGAAGGAGCCCTCACTTTGGTCAGGAGGCTCATTGGGCTTTTAATTTTACTAGCCTCACTTATTCAAAACAAAAGGACCACGACGTGTGTGTGTGTGTGTGTGTGTGTGTGTGTGTGTGTGTGAATGTCAGATCTGTCACACAACGGGCTACAGCCTTCTTCGTGCATTCTTCACATTGCAAGCCCATCAACAAAAGGAGGAAGAAGATCTGAAGGGAACGAGTGGTTTTTGCGGGCTAGGCGATGGAGAATTTCTCTACATAAACAAGAAGGTTTGGATTGGAAGTCTGCTAAAAAAAATGTTAGAGCTGACCACAAGGTTGTAAATCCACAGACTGGAAGGAGGAAAAGAGAAACATTGCAAGCGACTGAAGTGTGTGTGGCTGCAATGTTTGTGGGTTAGATGAGAAACAAGCGCTGAGTGAACCAGGGAGGGGAGGGGGGCGGGGGTGGCTGGTGTGATTTGTTTGGTGATCAGAGCCAATAGAAAGCCTAGACTGTGATAATATACCCATGCAGTGACTGAGAGGAGTCAGAGCTAAGACTCCGGTGCTCCTTTTCACATCTGCAGCCGGAGACAGCCTGAGACCGTGCAAAGCAAGGCACGATCTCCCATTTCCAGCTTACTTAGCCTGTGCTCTATCTTATGGGCATCTGCTACAGCCTGGCTAAGGCAGAACTGAATCCGGCAGCAGGAGATCAAACTTAGGCGCCCCTTTGGACTATATCACCCGCAGAAGAGGGAGAGAGAGCGAGAAGGGAGCTGAGCAAAGAACTCCAACAGCATTGCAGGTACGAGCTCATCACAACTCATCTGGCACGGACATGGTTTCTCACTCGCACGTTTTCTGTAGGTTTTGCTCGGTTCTTGCCTTTGCCTTTCCTTGGCTTTTCAGAATAGAACACATAGAATAATAACACTCTCACTTCATTCACCCTATATTGTATGCTACTGACATCCACCTATTGGATTTTCAGGGAGTGTGAATTACATACCTGCAAACTTGGCAGTGTCTTCTCCACCCCTAATACAACCAAGAGATAGGCTGTCATGAGACCTTTTTTTTTGGGGGGGGGACATATGATGTCCTAGATTATAATTATATGCAATAGGAAGCAAATAGCTGTCTGACTTCTATAAAGGAACCTTTTAGCATTCCCTGTGGTTTTATTATGTCAAGTTAATATCAGACTTATGTAACCCTCCTCATGTAATCAGGGAAACGGAATGACGTTTGCTTGGTTTTGAATCGAATAGGATGTGTTAAGATGCGTTAACTTTATACATATAATGCTCTCCTTTTGTTATAGTAGTTGATAAAATGTTTTCAAAAGTTATTTTTCCAGTCCTCTGTTCCTGTGCACCTGATTTGATTTTTAACATTTGAGCTTAAAATAGATTTTCATTCTATATCTCCATATAGAATGACTTCAAGGAGATCTGTGATTACATTTACAAGTTAAAGACTGGGCATACGGATTAATATAATACTTCCAAGGAAATGCCAAGGATGGGTTTGATTTTGATACTGACATGAGAAGAATCTTTGGCTTTTGCTGTTGTTGAAACGGAGATTATAAAAAGAAAGGAAGAGAGTATTGGCAGTTTATTGATGACTAAATTATTTTTCAGTTTTTTGAATCAGGTGACTATGTAATTTAGTTTTTGTCTGTGGATTTCTCAGGGTAAAATTAACAGTTCATTGTAACTCCAGCCTTTCTCAGCCAAAGGCAGAACAAGCTGAATGAAAGCTCAGTTAAAAAGCCTTCTTTGAATGCTTTGAGTGACTCTCGAGTACACGTGCTCAGCTGCTTTGAATCTCTGTAGAAAGAGTAGCTCCTGCAGTGGGAAAAAAAATACAGATTAGGTAGGACTGACTCCACAGTCTTGCAGAGAATGGTTTCTGCAGCAGGTGCAGCCGCAAGTCCAATGCGTTCTCTGAGGCCTAATTAGCACTTTGCATAGCAGACCCCATCCAGACCCCTGCATGCTTAATTCACTGCAAATTTCCCATCTGTTTAGAGCTTCAGCCAGTGCTTATTTCAGGTGTCATCCCCATTCAGTGCCACTTGCCTGTCCAATGATGACAAGCAAGTCTTGTCAATGGTACTTGTTTCATCTGCCTTTGCAAATTAACAAAGGAGAATTTGTATTGTTGTTACCTTGACCTCGATTCTTCAGACTAAGGCTTCTCTTATTTATGCAGGAAAACTCTGGCTTAGCTATTATGTAAATTGACTGAAAACTGTTCCCATTCTCTGTTAATGACTGTTCAGTTTGATTTGATAGAGTCTTACTGAATTCCACTAAAAAGATATTTTATTGGAGAGAAGGAGAGGAATAAATGGAAAGTAAATCCTCTTTTGGGGGTTATCAGCATTGATCCATTATTTTACTCTCTATGCATCGTAAGGGTTTTTTTTTTTAAAGAAACCTTAGTGGCAAGAGGGCAGTTGACAATGCAAATTAATGTAGCTAAGACCCAATCAAATACTATCAATTGAATCTAATGGACACTTTTTCTTATTATAGTATACTCTTAACCGTAAGTAGATTATGTGCAATAAATTCATACTACAACACATACAAAGTCATGAATTGCTAACAATGCAATAAAGTTGGAAGGTGTTCAGGGTTCAGCGCAGAGGGAGTGACTCTGAATGTCAGAATCTTCTCTGACAAAATACTACATGCTTTGATTTTGTAACATGTGTACCCAAAACTAGCCTAGGTGACCTTGGATAAATCCCTTAACCTTTTTGAGTAGCGGTTTCCTCATTTGTAAAATAAGGATTAGAAGATTACATATTTACATCTGGAAAGGACCATCCAGGCCAACCTCCTCACCCAAGGCCACACAGCTGGTAAGAGTCTAAGGCAGGGGATTGGACTAGTGGATTTAAAAGATCTTTTCGAGCCCTAAAACACAATAATTGGCAGATTGTCTGTTGTTTTGTATTATTTGTACAGTTCTCCACTGGGATAAATAATTTATAGAGTTGACTACAGTTCTATTTCACAGCCAGCCACAGCTTAAACTTGAGGCTTCCTTGAATTGCTAGTGAGGTAAAGTTTAAACAATGTACACTCCTTCAAATCTGCTATAAAATAAACACTTCCTCCCTCGGCTTTCTCCCACTGGAACAAAGAAAGAGCATTAGGTTCTCATACTTAGCATGGTGTTCTTATTGATATGGTTACAACTGACATACCTGATCAAGGACAGAGTTACTCTGGAGGGTTGTGGAGTTTTGGGCACACTATCAGATAAGGTTGGACCTTCCAATCCGCTACATGCAGGAAAACTTTTATATTTGTTTCCTCCTTGCTGGGGGTACTTTAAGAGTTGGATTTGTTGGCACTGTGTTTAAAGCCATGATTTATTGTCTTGGCCAGGATAAATTTGACAAAAACTGTGCCTGTGACAGGAGGGGAAAGATGGAAAAGGGGTGAACACAAAATCATGTTTATGAGAGAGTGCTTATATGATTGTAAATTGTCTTGGGCTCCCTTCCTTATTCCACCACTCTTTTGGTAGTGGGCTTCCTTATTTTTACTTCATTGTCTGTGTAATGTGTCTTGTGAATGAATGAGGGGGAAAAGAGAAGAGGAACGAACATCTATCAAGCACCTAATATGTGCCAGACACTGTGCCAAGCATTTTACAAATATTATCTCATTTTATTCTCACAACAACCCTGAGACACAAGTACTGTTATGATTCCCTTTTTTACCGTTGAAGAAACTAAGGCAGATGAAGTGACTTGCTCAGGGTCTCACAGCTAGTAAGTGTCTGAGGTGAGATTTGAATTTAGGTCTTCTTCACTATGTCCACTGCTCTTATTCATTGATCCTACCTGCATTTTACCATTCCTACTAAATCAAATGTTAAACCACTCCTGTTAGTAAATGGCTTTGGGGCCATGGAGAGTATGCTAGTCAATGACGTTACTCTAGGGTTCTTGCATGCATTCTTTGAGTTATTTTTAGCTCCCATTGTTCATTTTGTAAAGTGCTACATGTTTGTGTTGTATGAATTTTCCTTTCTGTGTTGGATACCTTGAATGTTTGTAGAATTTCAACCGTCTAGTGAACCAGATCCTATTGGGCAAGGACCATCGACTGGCACTTGGCCAATCAGTGTCATTCAGAAAACATACTTTACTTCAGCACTTGTTTGAAGAGCTATGTCCCATGTCCATTTGTGGATGAAATATTCACAGAGGGATGTTGCGTACAAGATGTTTCATTTATTTGTGGCATGACAGTAAGCATCCCTACTCTCAAAGCAAGAGGTATAAAAGGATTAATGAGTATGTAAAAACAAAACAAAAAAAATCATCACCTGCAAGGAATACCACATTGGAAGATTACCTGAGACAATAGAAGTGGGAAAATTTTATTGAAACATTTAACCATCAGGCACAGGTGGGCAGTTAAATAAATACCACTGGATTGTGACAACATGTACACATAAAGACCAGGAGAGGGCAGTCTTCCAACTCTCAAAAGTGAGGACTTCTCTAGTTGGCCATAGAGAGTAGAGGAAGAGCTGTTTCCAGCCAATCTGAACATTTTCTGTCCTATTAAATGTACCCCTGTTGCTCCTTAGTGTCAAGTGAAGTTAAGTTTCTTTTATTTCCCCAAATGGTATTAGCCTTGTCTGCCAGAAAAAAGAAAGTGAGAGACACTAAAAATAGAGCTAGCTTTACTTATGCTTTGTACATGCTTAGCTTTGGTCTCTCCCAGCTGCTTTGCTGTGTGTATTTTCATATCCTTTTAATGGGGAAGTGGAGAAAGAAAGGAGGAAGGAGAAGGGGAAAGAGAAGAAAAAAGGGGCTTCTTAAGCCGACCTTCAATGGTAGATGGTCTCAGCAGCCAGGGACCAATGCCACTTGTGGCATTGGATCAGTGTGAAATATACATTTGCAGAAGATGTGCTGAGTGTGTTTTCATACTTCTGGTAGTCACCAGGATCTAGGGTAGTCTGCTTGCTTTGTTATATTGAGTTTGGGATAACCAGAAGCAAGTTTTCGACAGTGGTTTTAGGAATCCTCAGCGTATTTTCCCTAGAGTCTGAATAGTAGGGAGTTGGAATTTCCAAGTATCTGAAAGATGATAGATAGCCAATCTTAATATTAGAGCAGAAAAAGCATGTGTCTCTTCCTTTTCGTAATCTCATAGTCCAACTGATTACTTAACTTTTTTGCCTCCACATTTCTGGATCAGTCATAAGTCAGAGTTAACTAAGAAATGTCAGGGTTGAAATGGAGGGTAATTGTCATTAATGTTTACGACATTATGTTGCTCCATTCAGTAAATAGTCTGCTATTCTGGTAGGTTAGCCAAGGTTTGAGAATATTACTCTTTCCTCTTTTTCATGTGTAGATCAGGCACTATTGAGTAGGGGATCCCAATATGTCTAGTAGAAGAAAGTTTTAAAAAGTCTTATGATCCCATAGAGATTCTAGTGGAAAGAATTAGAATTTCTCCTGATCCAAAAGAGAGCTAAGGGGAATTTATAAGACAATAATAGAAGAGAAGCCCCAGAAACTTATGGGGAGGAGAATTCTGAGAGGTCTGAAAGTCTCAAGAACCTTTTGAAATGGCCAACACCAACAATATTGTGATCTTTGTTTTTTGCACTCATGTTGTTAGGAACTCTGTGTGTGTGTGTGTGTGTGTGCACATGCATGCACACAGGCACACACACATATGCTTGAATTGTGACACACTGCTTTTCAGGAACAAAGAAAAGGTTCCAGTGTGTCTAGAAGGAAAGGGAAGGTAA